TAGAAAGGGCATTCTGAGGGCGTCATATGGACATTTGTAAACGTATCCATAAGTTTGATTCAGTAGCCTTTGTCTGTCTGGCCTGACCCTGGGCGGCTTTGTTGTGACGAAGAGGAGCCCCCGGTCTCTGTGGGTTTGCCCTCCACTCACCCGCGCACAAAGGAACAGAAACTTTAAACCATTGATGTGATTACCCTGAACAAATACGCAAAATTCCGGGCTGACCTGGGATTGTTAGTGACCAGGGAGGGGACAAGGAGATCGTGTATGTTTGTCCGGTTCTTTCAGGGCAGCTTCACGTTATAAACTGGGTACAGTTCCGTCTGTATTGTGCTGCCGTCAGGTGAAGAGTCCGGCACGCGAGCGGGACTGACGTGGGCCCGGCTAATCCGGTATAGCGGGGTGGATTTAAGCACGTCGTGTACAAACAGATCCTGACCGTAATCCTGAGCTACAGGACTGGGATATTTACATACGAGCTTATCTTAGATTTGACTTTCTGGACGGGAAGTTCAAACAAATACTTGGCTTCAAGGACACTGAGTACAAACAGGGTGATACAGGGTAGAACCTAGAATCTTAACGACAGGTGTAGTGGGGGGATCACTTAAAACGTGTTTTGATAATGCAGATCAATGGGCGGAGATATAACAGACGTGAATCTTTTTTATTTCTCCGTACAAGCACAAGCTAACCATGAAATTGACTTCTTGAGGAATGTTACTACACGGTCTTTATAAAGTTGTTCTCCGCTACAAAGCTGTAACCTGGAATCCAGCCTTGTTAGCTTCAGTCCGCTTCCAACGGTCGCTACTCCGCCAACATGTTGCCGAGTGGACTAAGACTGGATTCCAAGCTAACAAAACTGTTGATATATTGTGGTCGAGGCAATTCATAATTTGTTTCTCTACCATCAAGGTAAGTATTGTTTTTCTACCATGAAGATAAGCATTTTTTTAAACATAAGTTTAGCTGGACATTTTATAGTCAATTGTTTTTCGCTTAGGTTCAAACAAGGTGTCAGAGAGCAATTTTACATAGTTATCTTGTTAAATAAAATAAAATAGAAAACTTATTTTGAAAACGAGAAATTTAGCTTCTTCGTGTATCACCTCTTATGTTTTCCTTCCTGTCATGGTGTTTCTAACTAAATGTTTCTATCTGGCTGAAATCCTGACACATCGCGTGGGTAATGGTCACTTAAACTTGCTAGGTTTACAATGCCAATATTATTCATTAAGTTAGCTTTAAAGCTCGAGCTCATTTGTGTTGGCACATTCCATGATGAAGTTATTGCTTTCGTTCAACACAATCAAACCGTTGCTCACCTCAAATTTTCATAAGTATATGAGTCTATTTAGGAAGACTGAGGTTCAATGTGCATGATTAAGGTCATTTCTATCCAAGAATAAAATCTAAGGATGTTAATTTTTGGCACCCGTTTTGTCGACTGCCGACAAGGGCAACTCCACGATGAGCTTCATAGTTTGCCTGTTCGTTGATAAAAGCATTTCTTCAAACAAATTCCAACCCGGCTGGTTGTATGTATCCCGACTAGCTGATGTATCCTATCCTTCCTTGTACACAGTGTAGGTAGTGGTCAACACAATCCACAGCACATAGCTAGAATGTACAGTTTGCCTGTAGTCACAACAACTACTGACCACAAGCAAATCGTCAAACCTCACTCAAAATAGACACCTTAGATTGCTATCTTACCATATTGGGCGTGTTGGACGCAGGTTCCAATGCCCTGGTGTCGCCATATTTGTATCGCCAATACGAGTTATTGTAAGTGGAGCACCATTTTTATACACAACCGAGGAACCTGCGATACAGTCAAACATAATGTTGCCTTGTCAACGATGGAAGCTACAAATTATTAGGGAGTGTAACTGTTCTTTGTATCAGAAGTGTAGAAATAGTGGAGGTATACGCCAGACATGTTGTAAAAGGCTCCATCGTGGGTTATATTCAGAATGTGCTGTTACTGGTGTAGTCTGATCCTAACAAAGTCATGGTGCATTCGCCATCATGGCTCCATGTTTGTTGTTGCTTCGCACCGTCTGCTGCGCCGATGTCTTCACGTCTTCCCTTTGTTACATTCTCAAGTAGATTTTCATATTGCTACAAGTGGTTTATTAAATCGTACTTGAAGTTCTCACCGTGCACGGTGATAAATGATGACGACACCAACAAAAGGGTTGTGTCGTGACTTTCACTAGCAGATGAAGCACAACAGAGACGTGACTAACGTTTCTAAATAAACCTGTTTGGCGCGATCGGGTTAGATATTTTTCTCAGTACATTTTCAATGTTGTATCTTGTAACAGCACCCACGGCACAATGACACAAACATCGTATTTAACACGTGGAGGCAATACTAAATATCACAGCGAAGCGCTTAATCATGAGTACCAGCTCTTCGTTACATTCTCATGACCAAATCATTACGTTGTACTAGTGATACACCGGCCGTACAGTCTTTGGCAAGATCTTGACGTAGTTTCTACTTTTGTTGGTGTTTGAAAACTATGACTTTGTAATGAAGTTAGGTCACAGAACTTGTAGGGGCAAAAGTGAGCCCGAAAAAAAGTGTTAGCATTTATGTGTGGCCCTGTATATCTGATCCTAAGGAGACATGGGGATGTAGGATAAGGAAACAGATTTTCACAATAAAATCTTCTCTTTGAAATATCACCGCATCTAGACATACCCTAATTTTGTTCAACTATCCTCTAAAGAGCGCTATTAGATATCAAGATATGATTTTACTGTATCCGTTTGTTTTCTTGAACATTAACTATCTTAGAAACAAGCTCATATGTAAATACTGAGGGGTCCTCCCAAAATGTAGACCAGAATTGAGCAATTCCATTCTGACTTGTTCCCTTTTTTTACAGAACTAAACTTCACACTAACTGTCGCTGTTCCATCGACTCAAACCTGTTGTGACGTGTTTGTTGGGCGGTGTACAGCTAATGGAGTGAAATACGGATTTGCTGGTTTACTACGGTAACTTCCCATAGAAACGGAAAGGAGTGTACTAAAAAAGATAACTGTAAGATGATGATTTTCTAGCGTTGAGGTCCCTATCGCCACAAAAAAACTAACCCCCTTTCACATTTCCTTTGCACTTTCCCACCCAAGAGCAGACCACACACGCACGGGGCACACTTTAGCTGCTCCTGTTATCTAATGTAACAAGTGTGATATCATAAGAACTGGGACATACCTTGTTAAACGGCTGCACGCAAGCCGTCCGCTATGTGTGTTGTTCCAACCGGACAATCTTCTACTCCTTCCCGGTAACACCGATGTTCCGACATGTTCATACGGAGCGGGTTTGCCTTTTCCCCTCCCCGTGGCTGTTATAATGTTTGAGTTGATAGTCGTATCGTTGTTATTTGCTGTTCCAGTTATGTTGACGCGGCCGACTCCTCCCGAGGAACCATAAACATCGCGGTTTTCTCTCCGCTCCTTTTCCCGTTTTTCCTGACTACCACAAGCCAATTCCTGACATATCTTCCCGCCCCTGTCATTTAGAATATTGTATTTGGTGATTCTGTGCATCAACCTCAGTGTGACTGTGTCAGCAGCCTTGTTTCATCCAGGATACACGTAAAAATAATATCAATGCTATGTGATCACGGCGCTAAGTCAGACGACTGGGGGAGTTGCCACCGAGTGCACAAGTTGTGAAGATAAACTCTATATACAACTCGTGTTGCTAGTCCTAACATTATAAGAAAGTAGGCGCATGCTTTTAGGTTGGATTTGAAAATGCTAGCACAGACATGAAGGGACACTAGAACAACATGCGTGTAGCGGTGCCATTCTGGACGTCCGCAATTTTAGGAAATGACGATGTCTGTAAATTGCGTCGACGTAGCCGTACAAAGTTGTCCATTGCGCTTCGATCCTCCATGTTCTTAAATATACTTATTTCTTATTATTTTCAAAGACTGAAGGCTCTCGCGGAATGGTTCTCTTCGGGAGCGGAAATTGTGGAAACTGTTTTGTACCGACACATCCGTAAAATCATTACAAACTAACACCAAATCTTGTACTGGCCATCTATAACTATTGCAGAGAGACAGGCTTTGTACCATTAGTCAATCGCTTATTTACGACTCTATAGTTATGGGTGGTCTTTTGAAGGAAACGTTAGTAATCCGGGCGTGCACGTATTCTCCGTCAAGCTCATGTGTGGGTCAGCACTGTAGCACACTGTGCTTTGGGAGAGAGCGAGGCCGGCATAGAACTTGATGGTGAAGCTCTGTGCAGTTTTGGTGACCGTCTTGATATAAAACACCATATAGGGGGGTTATCTTCGCACAAACCTACCTGTTTGGAAACAAACCGAAGAGCCGCTATACCGAGCTTCTGAACTTGTGTAAGTGGCCGGCCATATTGGTTGTGTTAGGGACCGGCCATCTTGGCTGAACCTGTTACAGTGACTAGCCATGTTGATAAGGTCACGTTTAATTGGGAACAATAATTCCAAAAATGAAGAACTTGAACTTGTGGAATAATTTGTGCTGCACGATAGACAAATGTAAATGTTTTTGTGACCAATGCAGATTTGATAATACTGATATGAAGCACAGCTTGTTTGGTGTTCACCCTTACGGGAGGCATTGAACGGGGTTTGCTTGTTGCCAGGCTTTCATTTTGTAACAGTTAACTGTATAACGCACGCCTTCAAATACACCGTCACTACACTTGATTATCTGTTGTTCCGTGTGAATAGCCTTATAGGTCTCTCTGCACTTACAGTACAAACCTCGCACTGAACGTAGCAAATAGGACACTTTCATTCTAACACTTTCAGTCTAAGCCATTTGCACGTTTATGAGAGAATTTAGTAATTGTTCTATTTCTAGGGCATACAGGTATTCGAGAAGGATGATGGGAATTTATCAATCTGCAGACGTCACCACCGAATTCAGATGCAATGATGACAATGATGACAATTAAACACTTTATTCCTTTCTTCCTTTTCTGATATAGATAGATATTTTCCATAGAGACTTGTAGTGACAAGGAACATGTGACGGACACATTCTAACTCTGACACCGCCTGTGTATGCTTCAACAAACTGTCAGTAATGCCTAATCAGAAAAATTAATGGACTGAACATAATCCTCTGCCAACCGTTTCCATCTGTTCTGGGCAACTAGACAAAAAAGACACTATTTACATATATTGTACTTTTCACTTCGACCTTTCACTTTGGACATGGCACAGTCATGACATCATCAGTCTGACGGCAGGAATATAACAGTACAGACAACTTGTAGCAAGTAACATGTTTGTTTTCCATACGACTATTCTTACTTCTGACAGATAGACTGATACAAGATACTACGCATTTTACCTGCACTACAGCCATGTCAACCAAGGTGGCCTCTGGGCTTAAACCTCATACGCGTCACAAAAAGGCTGAACTATACGATGTATCGAACGTTAGCTTGGCTGACAAGCACTAGATCAGCCACTAGTCAACTAAAACAATTTTATAGCCAATGGCAAAGGCATCCAGTGAATGCCGACGTAACAGATGACAATAGATCAACATGTATTGCTCTCTCCATTATAACTTCCATTTTCCACTATGTAGTTGCTAACCAGCAGGTATACACACATCACCAAAGTGTTCCGTCTGTATTTCTTCGCCACTTATATCGATAAATCACTAACGTTTACATTGTACGATTACAACATAACAACATTCATATCGTCTTGGCGTGACCCATCTGTACCTGGTACTTGCTGAGCACAAGTATACACCAGTGGTTGACTTGGGACCATATGGGTGCCAAAATAGAATATATATAACAAGACATAATAATACAATAGAGACATTTTACAAATTAACGTTATATGAATACAATTCAGTTGAACTGGTCCTGAGATACAACACTTTGCACAACATGAAAGAAGTTGACTTTGTCACAGGTGTCTTGAAATTCTCCACATGGTTCTATACCATTACCACTAACACATTAACGGCCGGAATTCTGATATTGTCATAAATCTATCTTGACTCTGTCAAGCCATTCCTGGCTACAAGACACCACTCCCTGCCTACACGTTCATGTCGGAACTATCTTCAGACTTGACCCTGGCTTGACACCAAACATAGCTACATGGCACGGTTTGCACACTCACATTTTACTGGAACACATAACAGACTTGTTAGCATTACTGTACAATAAATCACTGAAGTCCCGACTTCAACGCTATATTACAACAAGAGCCACATTTGCGAAAACGAAACATGACAAAACTGCGAACAACAACTTACAGTCTGAACAAGAGTCCGGTCGGTCCCGACCGCTTCTATCCCGTTAGGCGAGGTAGAACGAGGGGTGTCCCTCCCACCGTGAGGTGGCCGCCATGCTCGCCGACGTTACCTGGCAGGTGCAGTCCGAGCGGGAGGGGAGACTGCCCGATCGTCCCTGTGAATGCAGTCGGTGGGCTCATGGCAAGAGTCCGTAGTGATGCGTACGGATCGTGGAGCACGTGCCCGTGGGAGGGAAAGAGCAGACCCGCGGGGTGGGGCAGTGTGGCATGGAGCAGTCCGGATGCCGTTTGAACCGTGAGGGGTGGGAAGGTCCCGAGGACGGTGGGGCTGACAGAGCCGGCTGGGGCAGCTCGGGACGTGTCCCTGCTCAGGAGGCGTTCCACGGAGAAGTTGTGCTGCGGCGTGCTCGGGTGGGGGCTGGTGAAGCCGAACCCGGGCGTACTGGAGGGAGGTGGGCTGTAGTGGAATCCTGGAGAGTGTTGGGGCAAGGAATAACCGCCGGTGGCCGGGGGATGGGTGCTCCAGTAGCAATTGGTCTTGTCGGCGGCAGGCCACTCGACCACGCCCGCCGGGTATCGTACCCCGAACCCGCGGCGGAACGCCAGCCGGCTTCTCGCCGCTGCAGTCGATCTTCGCCGCAGCTTGCCAGTCGTCCCGCCGATGAAGACATCGTCGCTTGACGGGTCGAGCATCCAGTAGTTCCCCTTGCCGGGGTCATCATAGTGGCGGGGCACCTTGACGAAGCACTTGTTGAGGGACAGGTTGTGGCGGATCGAGTTCTGCCAGCCTTGCTTGTTTTCCCGATAGTACGGGAAATTCTTCATGATGAACTCATAGATGCCGTTCAAAGTCAGCCTTTTCTCAGGACTCTGGCGTATGGCCATCATGATCAGCGCATTGTAGCTGAACGGAGGCTTCTCGTGCTTCGTTTTACCCTCCTCCTTGTCGTCTTTATCTTTCTTAAAGTCTTCCTGTTCCGAATCCTTCGAGACGTCAGTTTCAACCGTATCGTCTTTAGAATCAGTGACATCCTCCCCCTCCTTACCCTGGTCGAGTTCTTTGGTGCCTTTGCCGTGATGACTGTGGTGATCACCGTTCGTCTCGTGGCATGTTACGGGCGTGGGCGCGTGTCCTGCCGTTGGGCTAATCGTAGGCAGCTCGGCGGTGTGCACGGGTTGGCTTAGCATCCGCCTGATGCTGAAGGGGCAGTCGTTTATATTGGACGGGAATTCTGGTGACCGGTCTTCCGTTCTCACCATGTTGGACCTTGAATAGAAACGTCGTCCTGGAGATGCAGCACTGTCTTGGACCAGAGAGCTGTGCTAATGTGCGTATCACACGGCAACTAGAGCGTCAGAGTGCAGAGTAGCGGCCTCCAACAGTCCCACTTGTCGTGTCAACAATTGGGCAGCAAATCGTCACTCGAAACTGCCGTCGTGTTGGAGTCCTTTCGTGCAGCGACGCGCAAGTAGTGCTGGTGAACGGAGAAGCACTGTAGGGTAGGGGTTGGCTGCCAGACTCACGGTTGTTCTTCGACCGTCTGTGAGAGAGTGCGGGAAGCTGCACATTGTCCCAGCTGTCAGTGTCTGTTTCTGCGGCCACCCAAAGTTTGCGCGCCTCAGCCAATCAGCGCTCGCCCCGGGCGTGAGGTCTGCGTTATCTAGCGTCGTTTGTTTGACCACAATGAGTCACGTGACAAGGAACGAAACATTACTCAGTGACAGCTACTACTGATCATAAGACCGTCTTTGTGATTTGGGGGGGGGTCTACTTGTGTGAATAACTGGCACGTTCAGCTATGATTAGTGGGTGAGTAGAACAGAAGACCATAAATTGGACTACTAAGTAGAGGGGAGGAGAAAGCATAACGAGACCCTTTTGTTAGTTTACACCCAATTATGAGATAACCAGTAAACAGCTAATCGGGTGATGGCTGCTGAAGTGGACAGCGTATTGACATCAGCAGCACGGAGTGTGGGGGCGGGCCGCGTGCTTACACGCACCACCACCTCTCTAATTATTACCTCTAATGAGCCTCTTGGCGGGCTAAGGGGTCGATAATGATGTTAATAATGTGGATAAAATGTGACGAGAAAAAAGTGAAAGAACCTTGATGACGATTAAGTATCAGCTTGGGTAACAGAAAAACAAGCTAATACCGCGTGCAACCACAACTAGCCACTTCACTGGTAAAATTTAAACTTCATTTTTGTCCGAGAAGAGGCTAGTTAGGTGTGGTTGCACGTGCTGTAGGGAGTAGGAAGTGGTGACACATCTGGTGTCGATTATGTAACTCCCGGATAAGACCAATAAAGGACAGGGACCCGGTGTCCCTGGGATCAGTCTGGCCCAAGCCGTGGTAGAGTGTGGTCATCTCTATAGCAGCATCCAGCATATATAACATTGGTGGCAGCGTATAGCGCTTTCGAGCGCTCAACCCACGCCATCCCGACTATGCCGCCCGACTAGCCAACAGCCCCGGCTGAGCAGCACTCGACCGCCGCCATCGCTACCATGCCGCCCGACCCGCCAGCCCGCTACCCGGCCACGCCGACTCGACCCCTGACAGCCGCCATGCCGCCCGACACACCAGACCGCCGCTCCGTATCCGGCCACACCGACTACGAACCCGTCGACGCTGCCGCTACGTGCCACGACCTCTTTTCTACCCAGCCGTGCTCCCGTGAACCAAGCCTGCAGTGAACTTTCCATTTGTCTCAGCCATGCAACTCTGCCCAAGTCCGTCAAGACCGTGCCATGCTATCACCTTCCGGCCCGAGCAGACCGTGCCACGTCGCCGCGTCCCGACCGCCCGCGGAATCCAGCCCGCTGACTCCAGGCAGCCCTCGTGTCGCAGACGACCGACCCCATCATGGGCAGGAACTGACTTTCTGACATGACGTGACCTGCTAGATCTTTGCTGCGAACTCTGAGTACTGTATCTCTACCCACAGAACCTTCTAAGACCTATGAACTCTTGTGGTGTTGACTTGTTGTTGCACAATATGTAATGTTTTCTATGTTTGCCCTTGCTCGCACGCCTACGGGAAGCGACCAAGCCGCCTTGAGCCTGTGTATTTTTTTGTTACTTGCGAAATATGATGCTTGCCTAGTAGAAACGCTAGCCTACGGGACGACCCTGCTAGGAAGATCATGTATTAGCCTTTGTATTTTTGTGTTTGTTGCGAATGATGCTTGCCTAGTAGAAATGCTTGCCTACGGGACAACCCTGCTAGGAAGATCATGTATTAGCCTGTGTGTTGTGTTTCTTGCGAATGATGCTTGTCTAGTAGAACCGCTAGCCTACGGGACGACTCTGCTAGGAAGATCATGTATTTTGCGTTCCCGGCCACACTGTAGCTGTGTAACGGTCCGGAAGTCCCCGTACTGCCCCACGCTCGGGAGTACTCGAGGAAATGCGAACTTTGCCGCTGTGCAAGTTCAAAGGTGCTGTTTTGTATGTGAATTGTTACTGTTATGCCTGTTGTTCGTGCATTATTGTGCTCCAAATGTACTGTATAGCAGCGGTCCGTCTTACCCTTACCATCAAATTCCAAAGACCATGTGCACATCTGCTTTTTGTTGGCCAAGTTAATTAATAGCATCCTGTTACTTTATGGACCCAATTTCAAACCCATTATCATTGTTGTTTTTTTCCGGTGGCCATTATTATTACAGCGGTAACATTTTTAGTTATAGATTAGCGTTTAGCCACTGTAGCATTTGTTTGATGTAGTTTGCTGTTAGTTGTTTTTGTTTTTCTGCCCCTCAGCATGGTGTCGAGGACGACACCTTTTGTGAAGGGGGGCCAGTGTAGGGAGTAGGAAGTGGTGACACATCTGGTGTCGATTATGTAACTCCCGGATAAGACCAATAAAGGACAGGGACCCGGTGTCCCTGGGATCAGTCTGGCCCAAGCCGTGGTAGAGTGTGGTCATCTCTATAGCAGCATCCAGCATATATAACAGTGCCACAGTTCTAATTATCTGCAGTTTTAATGAGCTTCTCCTTTGGTTAAGGAGCTGCTTACGATGTTAATTACATGGCTAATAACTCATCCAAAAAGTTTGCAGGGTTTGATGACGGTCGATGAACCTGGAATAACTCGCAGGAGGAGAAAAAGTAAACTAAACCGTCGAACTTTTAATACACCGTAGTCTTCACTAGCCTGGGTACCATCCGGATTTTCGCTTCGCAACGCTCGAAAAAAGCATGAGCGTTGCGGAGCGAAAATCCGGATGGTTCCCAGGCTCCGTGTTTTTAGGCATTATATTGTAGGAATTGATCGAATAGGATATTAAATGATTTGCCACAGGACTTGCATGCTTGCAGACCAACTCTGGCAGTATACAAGTCTACAACAGTATGACGACGGTTACTAGCACTGGTTAGGATGCTGAGTGACGCGAAACATTTTTCAGACACCTGATTTTTTTTCGATCCCTCAATTTTTTAGTCACTGTGTAGCGATGTACAATGTCATTGCCACGGGGATGTGTATTGTCATGTTGTGTTCTATACCGAGTTGACAATCAACTTACACCGACCTTTTATCATCGCGGTCATCATGACATCAGGTTATCCAACTTCAGATGATTACTAAAATGTTCTTTCAGTTTGGTAGGGGAAATTTGCTACTTTTGTGTATGCGTGTGTGTGTGTGTGTGTGTGTGTGTGTGTGTGTGTGTGTGTGTGTGTGTGTGTGTGTGTGTGTGTGTGTGTGTGTGTGCAGAGAACCCCCGTCATGTGGGAGGGAAACAGGAGCCTTTGTTTATCCTATTAACATGTTTACAGTTTGCAAACGACACCAAAATGCCACGATCACTGTACTTAACTTTGGGCATGGCAGATACTTATCATTATCATTTAGTGACAATGGTGGGAGGGGCAGACGAACGAAAGTTTCCCCAGACTACCGAACTAGACTACACCATGTACATGTTGGATGGAAATCGAGCTGGATTTTCAGTCGGCGTCAAATCGCGCGGAAGATGAGATCATTACGGGCGATTGGCGCGGAATTCGGGCCGAGACCGCGGGGGGACTGAACCAAAACAAACAGGGGAGACGACAAGGCCCATATGCCGGGTAAACCTCCGTGCGGGCTCCGCCAGCAGGGGAAATATGGCCCGTACGATCATGAGGTGATTTCCCACTTATGTTACATCTGCGCACCACTTCACACAACAAAAGTTTGCCATCACCTCTTCTCTAAACCTGACGAACAAACAAACAGCCTGTGCGAGCTGACAGCCCGTCCTCAGGGGCGGATAGTTATCTACTCCGCCCGCACTAAACGCTTGTAATTATTGTAGTAATGCCCCCATTCCGACCGGGATCTATCTGTATATGTAATCATTGTAACATAGACAGGCCTTTTTAATCCTGTGGGTGCCCAGGATATGCGGTGTTGACGAATAAGGGTTAAGAGTGGCCACACATCGTGAGTCGAGTTGTTTCCATGGCGAGATCCCTTATCTTCCCACTTTCATCATGCTAGGAAGCTGTTTCTGATAATTACTGAAAAGGTCGCACAATATTTGTTTTCTTAATTGCACCGGAAGCGCGGGACTGGCTCCAGTTTCGTGAGATTGAAGCCCAGGAATAGATGGAAAGGAGACGGATTTTGACGAGAAGAGGAAAATGACCCCCAGCGGAAGACGGTGCGATTTATGTTGTGCCACCATGTGTGGTATAGATGGTCTGTGCCAGCGGACTTTTCCACACTGTCACCGCCAACGAGAAACATTCACGTGGGTTAGTGGAGACGTCAGCTGGTTTTGATTGAGATGTCAGAGCTCCGCGGAAACATAAGGCCGTTTTTGTGCAGTAAGATGTCACTTCGAAATATGGACATTGATTTATAATCTAAAGATAACATGAATAGTTTCTTTGTGTGTGCAAAGCAGTGTAGGTGGCCTTCCATGGTATGGCCTCAAAACAGAGGAGAGTCAGTATAACCGTTCAAACAATATCTTACATGCCGAAGAAGGGGATGAAATAATGGTATATAATGAAGCGCCGTAGCATTGGTTGTGCTGGCCATGGGTTTTGCACATAAAATCAGTTACTGAAAGACTGTATCAGGAAGACGTGTACTCGTACATCATCAGCAAGATTCAGACCACTACGTGTCCTACATAATGTACCGGGCACTATGATACGGACTGGCTGATTTTTTTCATCGCATTTTATTGGCCTTTTTTCGTCCATTATGGCCTGGTATTCTTTTGGATACTTCCCGAGGCTATTCATGATAATTTAGTGTTTCCATCCCACTGCAACCAAGTGTATGTGCTTTTAAAGGGCACATAAAGCATGAACAAGCAAACACAGGGACACAAAACTTGTGTGGCCCCTGATGCAAACACTCAGCAAGGCATTGTGGGCGGTAAACCGACCCGTTCTCTTTGTCAGAACTTAGAAGAAATATGTCTATAAAATTAAATACCGCGCGTTACAAACACACGGAAAACAAATGCTAGTAATGTATGTTAGAAAAGAACACTAGCTCTAATTTTCCACCCATTTGTTGGTAACTAGCCTGAATGGAACGTAAGGGTTTTATGAA